CTATTGCCCCAGCTTATCCTGCTCTTCCTTCTCATATGGAAGGACATACTTGTAAACAAAAAGTATTCCGCTATTGCCATTTGCAATTTTTAGTTTCCTATGGACCTCAAGAAATAAAATCTATTCTGGAAGCTGGTGCTGTGATTTGCCATACTATATGTCAAAGTCAGGACAGAAAGTCATCTGGGCACTAAAGGAGGTAGGCAAGCTAAGCATGAGGAGGAGGAGAGAATTTGATGGAGATAAGTGCCTGTGTGTGAAGTGTGTCTTCATAATACGCAAATGTGTTCTAAGGAAGTGACTCCTTTGGTAGACTGTTCATCTCAAGAGGTAAATATTTACTTGCATGCTGTGAACAAAGAAGATTGTTCTGTGGAGCAGCTGAAAATGTGATATTTGTGACAAGGGGATAATAGTATGAATAAAAGCACGGCAAATGGGAATGAGAAGTAACTTCACCTTGAATAGTTTAGATGACAATCAAAGCATCCTCTGTACTTTAATCCTTGTCTGTGTGAGTAAAGAAACAGTCCAGCCTCTCATCCTGACACTGTTATTCTTGTTCTGAGATATAATTGAACCTGACATGTATGAGAGAAGTTGGCAGAGTTAAAATAGCTAAAATTGAAGGTATCCTTGTGACTAGGATGAGATCTGTGCTAGCTAATGACTGTGTTCAGATTGGAACAGAAAAGTGTTAGATTTTAGCATCTCAATTAAGAATCAAAGAGACTTTAGCATATTGGTTAACTGTTTTGCATCCTTGATGTCCAACAGCATGCATTTATTTTGATTAAGCTAGGCAGGTTTTGGTCTGGCCCGTTTTGAATTCTGTAATGGAAAAATGTGGCTATAACGAATTAAATAAATGGTTTCCCCCACTAAATAAAATGGACTAGTGTAAATGAATAAACAGAAGTGTGGAAAGAATGCTTTGCAGCAGAGCTGAGCAGTGTTTCTTGGGCCAATAAACACTCCGAAAAGTAGGTGAGGCAGAGGACAAAAGCTGAAATTATAATAGTCTTTGGATTATTCTCATATAAAATATGAAGCATAATAACTAGTATTACAGCAATCATTTATAAATTTCACCTCTATCTTCAGGGAAGGGAGATTTGTTACATAAAGGAGAACTAAGATAATATTATTATTTAGCTATTGTGGATAGGGGAATATAAAGTGAATAGAATAGGAGGCTGAAATCTTAATGCTATATGTACTCACATCTACATACAGTATGGACATACATTAAATGCATGGGTATGGAAGTTAGAAATAGGCATTCTCTACTACCAGAAACTGGATTCTTCCAAGTATCTCTGCGTGTTCTCCATTTGCTTTGCCTAGTATAAGACCAGCTCCGTGACTTTGACATTGAAGCCTTTGCTATGTTATTTTAGGCTTGCAAATGCTTGATTTTCCTGTGCCCACAGCCTCACCCCTAAGCTTTGGGGTATCTCCAGAGTGAGTTTGAGGTATGAGCTAAGCTCACAAATCTGGCTATGAAAGAGCAGGTGTTTCAATACCATCGTCTTTACTAATTGGTATAAAAAAGAGTTAGTGTGCCACTTCTTGATTTTTAGTTTTAGTTTTTATTTTTTTGCCATCTGCATCCAGGGAAACAACAGGAGGAATCTTTCCTTTGGAACTGATGGGATTGGGGGAGTGGTGGGTATAAGTGACAGAGTGTGTGTGTGTATGTGTGTGTGCTCATTCTCTCTCTGTCTCTCTCTCACACATACACACACGCACAGAGTCACATGCATTTGAATATACCAGCTGTCTAGTGTGTTACTATATTGTACTGCTTTTTTTTTTTTTTTGAGGATAAAGGAATACAGCTCTAGCAACACAGATTTTTTCAGCATTGCCAAAATATATGCAAAGAATATGGAGCCATATCTCTGAGGACTTGTTATTCTTTTGCCCAAATACGTTGGTAGACATACTGTATTTTGTATCCAACATATCAGATTGCCTTCTCTCTGGTGGCCCAGAGAGGGCTTGGAGGTCTGTCAGGCATGCTTTCTTCATAATCCCATCAGTTCTGCTGCCTTGGTCAATAGTAGCATGAGACTTCATGGTGACCACCACCCCATGTCAGAGTTTACTGTGGGGTCGGGTGACTCCCAGGTGATAATAGAAAAGAACAAGCAGTAAATCCAAGGCAAGTAGCATGATCAAAGGCAAACGTTTGTACTAGAAGCTGAATAAATTGTCTCAGATTATTTGGGCTTCCAGCTGAGCTTCACCTTCTCTTCCTGACATTGACCATTCACAACCTCTGGAAGAAATATTTAATTTAATAGGAGTTGCCAGAAGCTGGGTTTGGGACTTTCTGGCTGCTGAGCATTATTTCTGTCATTGAGTTCTTACTTAGATTTACTACACATTTATGTCAGAGGCAACTCAACAGAAGGCAGCACCTGGCTGACCCTATCTTGCCTCTAAAGGTAGGCAGCTTGGGGCTCATTAATACTGGGAAGGGAGATTTCCAGAGGATATCAGGGTTACAGACTATACAAGGAAGTAAAAAATACCCAGAATAAACCACCTCCTTAAGGTCACCAGGAAAATTGGATGGACATATCCATGAAGTCACCAAAGGAGACTTATCTCACTTGGGTCAGAGACAAGTGGAATCATGTGTACAAGCAGTACTGAAGATCTTGACACAGAAAAAAGTGTAGGATAGGATGGAGAAGTAGGGTATACTGTGGCAGTATTTGCTTCCAATAAAAAATGGTCCCCAGGGCAGAGGCTTATAGAGAGTTAGATTGACTTACACTGACATCCTGGGTTAGTGACTAGGTGAAGCAAAGGGTAGAGGTAAAATTCTGGAACCTGGTTGTTGAAAGTCAAGCTGGTACCTATACCTATTTTTGTAAGTCCCTTGCATTTCTGTAGACCATATTTTGGAAACACTGGAATTAGAGCTATTTGAGATAGGAGTTTCTTTTATGCTTTGGAACATGTATGGCAATTGCTCAAGAATGTTCCTTTCCCTGGTCAAATTGTTGATGTTATATAGTATCATGAACAGTAATATGGATTTGTGCAATAACCATGTCATCTTGCACAGGGTTAGTTTTTGGACTGGATTGTATAGTAATATGTAATGAAGGTGCAAAAAGAAAAATAACCTCTATGTTTTAGCATTTAATCCTGAATGCATAGAAAATGCTTAGACTTAAAGAATATATACAGTACATTAATGGTTTTCTTGGCACCAATAATAATGATTTGCTATTGCTGTCTTCTGGGATTATTATTTTTTTAAATTTCTTTCATGATCTCTTCTGGGAGTACTAACCAGATCTGATTCTTCTTAGATTTGCTAAGTTCAGTAAAAAGGGGAAGTTAAAAATCCAGATTACTATTAAATATTAAGAAGACAAGGGCATTGCAAGCCTGCATGCTTAATGAACTTTGTTAATAGGGATGAAGTTAAGGTGATAGATAGCTTTGTTTTCTTGGGATCAAGAATAGTTAATGTTGGTTAGTATGCTTGAGAAGTAAATACCATGAAATTAGTCCCAGGCAGGAAGGCAATGTTGAACTTAGGTAAGATTGTGAAGGGTATTTCAGTGACAACAAAGATCACAATAGTTAAAAAATAATAGGTGCTTTTGAAATATGCATTGCAGGAAGAATCAATCAGTCATAGATCAAAAGCTGACTATTCTCTTGAGGTGATGATCCGCAAGCAGAAATTCACATACTCTGGGCACACGATGGGAG